GTTTGGAATTGTTCAACTACTAGCTTCTCAAATACCCCACATTTTTCATACAAAATGGCTCTCAATTATTGCTGCAACCATGTCCTTCACCTATTATGTTGCTGTCAAAATGAACATATTATGTTGCTGTCAAAATGAACATATATATGTTTACCTGGTTTTGATATTCAGGTAAAGTATTGGGACAAACATCAAATTCATGAGCATGAATTACAAAGGAAAGTAACTGTTGTAGGGCATGAATTAAAACTTTTGCTTTATACATTAAAACACCTTGATTTCTTGTTCTTTTTTCTCACTGTTTTGTTCATTCTTTTTACATATTTTGCCATGCCTGCTGCCTGCTGTTTGACATACCTAATTAACCATTCCCTGCCTAATTATACTTATTTGATGTGTGTATGTGTGTATGTTTATAGACCAGTAGCAACATACACACAACAATTGTTCCATGTGTGTGTATGTTTAGATACAGCAGCAACCATAGGTGAAATGTGTGTGTATGTATCGTACTCCAAATAGAAACAAGTATAGGTGAAATATGTGTGTTTGTTTAGATACAACAGCAACCTGTTTTCATTTATGCTTTCTCTCTGTGTGTGTGTATTGTACTTCAAATAGAAACAATGAGATATTGTACTTCAACTTATTTGTGACAGTGATCTAATGTTTCACATAACTCTATAACCATTCCCTATTGTAATATAACACCCCTGTACCTGTTGTTCTAAATCAAAGAAACAACCTGTGTGTGCCAAAGCAGCAACATGTGTGTACCAAAGCAGCAACCTGTGTGTGCATAAGTATTTGTACATAAGCAGCAACCTGTTACATGTTGATATTTCATGTTTTGTGTGTGTGTGTGTGTTTAGATACAGCAGCAACCTGTTTAGATACAGCAGCAACAGTAAATGGTGTAAACAGCCCCCCCCCAGCATGTAAACAAGTTGCATCCTCTTATACATACACACACATCTTTCCTGTGGCTTGAGAATGTCATTGGGTATTGTTTACAGTAGCTAGACTCAAAATAGCTAGACTCAAAATCCAATAGGTGTGTGTGCATAGTGTCTGCTTAACCAATACAAACCCCTGTGCTAACACTGCTTCTTAAAAAATCAATGAGATCAATTTTTTATTACTTTAGGCAACACAAAGAGGACTCAACCCACAATGTACCAAACAACCCTTTATGTGGTTTTTCATATTCCAGTTGATTGATATCATACATAGCAGGAATTTTAATTCTGGATGATTTTTCTTCTTTTTTTTTGCAGAATACCAGGAATTTCAAACCAAACTATCAAATTGGCAGGATTAAGAAGACTAAAACAACAGCCAAATAGAAGGTAAAAAAATTCTACCATTATACAAAGAGTATTAAACAGTACCCTTGTGCCTGCTGTAATGTGTCAGCCCTTTGCTTCACCCTAAACCCCCATTACATTAGTACCCTCTCATCTTTCTTTGTTTTTCTGTTTCTTGTATACATATCATCATCATTTATATGTATGTATCTATGTATATACATATATTATCTCTTCTATAATCAAACTTTT